ACGGAAGAGCGGGCCTGATGGCCCGAGTCTCGCCACGTAAAATAAGGCAAATTCAATTTTAAAAAAAGCCAGTTTCTGCTTCCCCGGTTCTCCTTTTTTTGATGGTCACTGCCATGTTCGCAATCCGGGTGGCATTAATCTTGCCGAAGCAAAATCATTGTAATGATCTCACACGACACTCAAGGTCCAACCCCTTGACAAAAAATACATGGGACCTCTTAAAACATACTACAGCATAGAAGCCAGGCTTTATATAAAACATACAGGGCTCCCTGACTCTTCGTACGAAGTTATGGAGCTTTTCAAAAAAGGCGTATCTTTATGTGCAGACTGGTGCTATTGCTGCTAGTAGTTTCCAAGAAAACGGCATCTTTCCTTTGAATAAAAATATTTTCACAGATGCAGATTATCTAGAGGGTCCGTACGATGTAGAAAAATCTTGCAATTAAGAGCCATCAACTTCACCAAAGAGGTTTACTACTATTCATATTCGAGTCGCAGAACAAGCTAATACGTCAACAGCTGCAACCTCTGAAGTAGTTGTTCGTTCCTCTCCTTATGCAGGGAGCAGTTGTTCTAATGCAAACAAGGCAGCAGTTTCAACCTCCTCTGATGCAAACCAGGCAGTCGTCTAATCCACTCATGGAGACCAGATAGTTTTGTTGATAGTTGAACCAGACATTGCCATCTACTTCGAAGCGTGTATCATCGTTGACATTGCTCCTGTCCTAACAAAAAATCAGCTCACAAAAAAGTCAGTTATAGCATCTCTGGTCGAAAGTCACAGGGTCGAAAGCCACTGGAACACTTTACCATGAGAAGATACAACGGACCTGGGACCGCTCCAAATTGACAAAAAGAAAGCCTCCGTTCAGTGCTGTTGGGGCGAAAGACAAATGGGAAAAAGCAAAGAACCTCAGAAATCAAAGAGCAAGAAGAAAATATCGTTCTCTTTCATCGAGGTTCTCCGACTCAGAAGATCAAAAACAGCCACCCCTGGATGACTCAGATTCGGAATTTGGGAGAATTCAACTCAAAAAAACCCTCAACAAGATGATGTTTCCTGAATGTTTTGCCAAGGGTTGTCTGGCCAAAGATTGGGTACGGTGTGTTACATGTCATGGATGGGCACAAACAGAATGTGCTGGTTGGGAGAGATGTGAATACATGTGATGTTTGTGAGTTTACAATGTTGTGCTTATATTGTACTTTGTAAGTAAATTTTACGATCATGACTTTTTTAATTACATTTTTCTAAAGAAATTAGGAGTAGACCATATTTGAATCTCATTTTCAAAATGTATTTTTTGCACATTATTTTAATAAAGCATTTTCTATGAATCTTTATTTTTTTTAAATTCTGAAACTTTACGGAATTGAAAGATATGAGTCAAAACTGATACGATTCAAAGTGTAAATTCCCCCATATTCCAAAAATGTGCCAACTACATGTAAAAATCAAAGCTAGCCCATACCTGCACCTTCTTTTCTACGTTACGATAGAACTTGTTTGGTGGAGACAAACATGATGTATGTGCTCTATTACGAACTAATGCGATGAAATACAATCGTTATGTATATGAATAATAAATGCGTCGTGTTGCAACCTTATTTAAACACCGATAATATTTACCACTTTCCTGAAATACCGGAAATATTTGAATTCAAATATCTTTATTCTTCTCTGCGATTTTCCAATAAGAGTATTTATCGGAATGCTCTCACTTGTGTGGCGATTAATCTATTGATCTCTTGTAAACAAATAAACACGAAACGCAATGTGAGCACTTGTCGCCTGAGGAAACGTTGGAATATAGCTTAATTTCCATCCGTTGAGCGAGGTGGCAGAAGCGATAGTGGTGGCAAAAACAACGTGCAAATGCTGCAACGCTCCTGCGGTTATGAGCGTGTTATCGGTTAAAATATGATGATTATATCGGCGATCGTTGAAAAGAATGGCAAAGGCGATTAGTAATTTGACGCTGTGAAGATAAAAGTGTTTGCGGCATTAACGATAGAAACAAAACCGGTAAACGCATTTGAAGTAATTGCGTTGTGTGTACAGGAGTGCCTGTTATTTATGAATGTTGTGTTGATTAAAACGAATAGTGGCAATCATTAATGTGGTGATGACGGTAATACGAGGACGAGATGGCATTAATGTATCCAACCAACCAAGATAGATCCGACAAGGAGGTCAGTAATGTTAGTGATAATAATGATGACTAACGAGATAAAAGATCAGACCAGTGAGTAGAGGACGGGAAGTGGAAGGGAATTCTACATTATCTGTATGAGAGAAGAGCACATGAGCTATTCCATTTATCCGTTTTCATCTTCTGCACATGAGAAATAGTGAAAGTGGGTTGATAAGAATTAATAAAAAAAAATGATTTTAATGTGGGTGGCAGAATCAAAGCTGACAAAACTCACTCAGTAGAAATTGCATTTTGAAAGCCGAGTACTCGATCCATATATATATATATATATATATATATATATATATATATATATTCTTGTTGATTATTACATAGATAATTAAAGCATATGTTTAGGATGCTTACTACTAACCTACATACTAGACTTAATCCAATACATGAGCGAGGATGTCAATTTGGCACCACTGTTAATTGTCAATGTCAGTAATTTTTTTCATTATTACGTGGAACGGATTGGTTGTGTAGGATTTCGGCTGAGATTGAGTGGATTCAGTGTATGGGTTTGTGGTAAGGTGAAATAGAAATTGGAGACGAGGTAATTAATATGGTTGGCTATGGGTTTGATGGATCGTTCTTTATGGAGTTGATCGTAACGAACCAAGGAGCGTTAGTTATTATCCTCAGGTACTGATTTTGGAAAATTTGTATTTTGTGTGTGTTGGTTTTTGCAGCGTTAATCCAGATGGGGCACGCGTATAAAAGGAGGGATCTTAAGGTGGTTTCGTGTATTATTATTGCAGTACTACATGGTAGTGAGGAATTTGTAATGATAATAGGTTTTAGTTTTAATAGGTTTTAGTAGTAATTTTATTTTGTTTGATTGACTGTAGTTTGTATATGATTTTTCCAGTTAGATTTCGTGTCCATATTGAGTCCAAGATATTTAATTGTGCCGTTCTGTGGGTGCTAGATTGGTTCGTAGTTTAATATAGGTGTTGTGGTGCGTTATCGTTGGCATTTGTAATGAAATAATTATATGCGTTGTCATTGGCAACAATAGTAATGTAATACTATTGTTGACAATGACAACGCATATAATTATTTCGTAGTTTAATGTCAAGGGAGTCGAAGGAGAGTGAGGTCTGAAGGTGAATATTTTGGTGAGGATTTTTAATTTAGCAGCCCAGCTATCGATTAGAGTAAGACAGATGAAGGTGTGGTGTGGCGAAGTTCGAGATGAATTGAGTGTGTGTGTGGAGGCGAAATCCACCTAGCAACATGTAATCGCTAGGGCTTCCAGAGAGCAACTTCGATGGCCCTGACGACGATAATGAAAGGTCACGCCATTCCGTCACCAACGCTGCGGAGGCATTTGCCAACGAGAAGATCGCTGTGCCACGCGCCCAGACCGGCGCCACGCACTTTCTCCCATCACTTCCGCTTCTTAAGCACGTTCCTTCCCGCGTCGCGCCCATTTCCCCGCCCCATCGCCCCGCTCCCATTGCTCCTGTCCCATTGTCACACCCCGACACCTTCGGTACGCGCTCGTCCCCCCGATACCCGCCATCGGCCCGTGACAATCGCCCTCCCCACCCATCGCTTCGCACCGATCGGTTCGCACCCATCGCTTCGCATCCAGCGGTCCGCACCCATCGCTTCGCACCCCAGCGTTTCCGCACCCAGCGTTCTGCACCGAAGCGTTTGGCCACCCATCGCACCGTCACGACCATCGCTTCCTCGACCATCGCCTCAGAACCGATCTCCCTGCGAGTATTGCTCCGCGACTTATCGCCCGTAACATCGTCCGCGACGTTCACCACGCGCCGCTCCACACGCCCACATACACCCCGTATGCCGCTTCCATCACACCCGCGGCCCGTCTCCTTCGCCCGCGCGCCCTCTTCCGAGCGCCAGCGATTTCCCACCGCTTCGAGCCCACGCCCTGCACCATCGCTGCGCTCCTGCACCCGCCCCTCCTCTCTCTCCCCGCTCCCTCCGCTCCTCTCCTCTGCTCTGCACGCGGCGTCTCTTCACGTGGCGCGCGGATCGTCGAGCGACGCCTTAACGTAGCGCGTCCGTCATCCGTTGCGGGCGGCGCGCTCCGCTGCCTGCGACACGGCGCGGGGCGGAAGGGACGGGCGGAGCCGCGGCCGACGGGGCGGGGGCGTGGGGAACTGGAGTAGAATAGTGGCGGCAGCGGAGCCACCTCGGCTCGGCCGCGGAAGAAGACCGCGACTGATGCTGGAACAGGTAAGACCCGGGCTGAGAAGGGAGCAAATGAGGCTTGGGTGGTGGCGGAGGGAGAGGCGGAGGCGGGAGTCGGAGGCAAACGAGTTGACGACAAACGAGCCAAGGACACCGGCGACAGCAACCGGCGGAACGCTCGCGAAGAGACTGATGGGAGGGGTGGCTGTGCGGAGGACAGATACGCCGGCGGAGAGACACAAGGATGGATCTTTGAGTGAAGGATGGGGCGAGGCGGAGGGACGGTTCGCAAGTGCCGCGCTGCCCTTGCGGCCATGCGACATAGACGCAGGGATGAGAGGCAGAGAAGGAGCAGGAAAACACCAAGTGTCGTTGCGGTGAACGCTAATGGGAGCTTTCCCGTTGACATCGGCGAAGTGTCCCTTCCTCCCCCGACACACACTCTGGCAGATATAAAAGGAAAAAAGTTTGCAGTTTTAGTTGGAGTTTCGATGCTCACGCTTGCGATTGTACATATTAAGATCTCTCTCGACTGAGTTATCTTTCACTGAGAGCGAAAGTGACTGTACTACCTACTTGTTAACAATTTGATAGAATACGAAGAGTTGCATATTACTTAGAGCTAGGTGGGATAAACTGCACATACTTTCTCGAACGTTTTGAAATTGATATGCTATATTAATGCAACTTCCAACCTCGTAATGTAGTTCAGCCGTATCTTGAAATTGAGCAAACGAAGTGGGAGATACTTGAAATAACATACATTTCTTTCATTTTTGAAAATTTGAACAATGCAATGAAAATGGCACATCTGTCATAGAATTGAAAAGGGGAGAGAGAGACAGAGAGAGAGAGAGAGAGGGAGAGAGAGAGAGAGAGAGGGAATTCTGTGCGATATCCTTACAAACATTTTAAGAAAAATTTGGAGCCGTTTTTGAGAAACTTTTAAAAATTTCTTAGGAGCTTCAATAAAACATCCCCAAAAATTATATGATATGTTTAAGTTTTTAGGGCCTGGACTGCGGCCAGAGTGACTGACGAATATCCATTTTGAAAAAATCGTTCTTCTTGCCTTTTTCTTTACCGCTACTTCGGTCTTCCAGCGTCTAATCTTCTTCTTCAGTCTTCCTTGTTCTTCCAGGAATATGGAGGTAATTTCCACTTCTCGATTATCTTTCTAATTTGGTCGTTCCTTCCTGGTCTTAGTCTGCCTCGTTTTCTCCTTTCACTTTGTTGCCATTCTAAGGATCTTCCGAGGAGTCTTCTCTCGTCCATTCGCTGTACATGCCGAAATCAAGTGAGTTGTTTCTTTTTAGTTTCCTCTATAATATCAAGTTGCAGATTCATTATTTCCTTAAACTGTTCATTTCTAATTCTTTCCCTTCTATATATTGTTGCAGCTCATCTGAGGAAACCCATTTCCAGGTCTCTTTTCTTTCTGTTGTTTTAGAAGCAGCTATATTTCTGCTCCCTACAATGTAACACTTCCAAAGAAAATCCTATGAAACGTTTACGTGCTTGTGTTCATACAAAGAGAGACACGATTTTAAAATCCCCTTTTCGTCATCGCGGTCTCACAAAAAAAACTTCCGTCAAAATATCAACTTTCAATATTTTGGTACATACATTATTTTCTGCATCCTACATACGAGTATACGAGAAAGTAGAAACGATGGCGTGATGTTCGACAATAGGAGTTTTTGTAGTCATTTTGTCTACTAATATGCTTTATTATATGTAATGATTATATATTTATAGCGATGTTATTTACGTCTAAAACCTTGCTTCAAGTTTTAAACTAGTTACCTTAGCTAGTCCGATGATTTAATCTCCGGTGTTGTAGATTCTATGATCTCGTAGCAATTGGCATATTTCTCTATTCAACATGGCTCTTAGTCCTTCTTTGTGGCAGTAGTGACTATGGATAATACTTTCGAAAATTGACATTGGAATATCAATTACCGTAAACGTACATTGCAAAATTACTTTTTCGAATTTCAACCCAAGCCACATCTTAAAAAAACTGGTGGAGATGGAAAGAAAGTTTTTTAAATAGTCAGCTTCAATGTCTGTGCTAATGTACAGTTCCAAAACGCGAGTGATAAAATGTATGACATTTGTGAAGGCAAAGGAACGAGGAATATAATTCAAACAGATAGCGTCAAGGAATGATAACATGAATAGTGCACGTAAATGACTGATGTAATAGCAGATCGGCATTGTAGTCCCTGCAATATGCACGAGAGGATCACCGGCCTATACAATAGCAAAGCAGTCTGTCGCCACGAGAGGCAATGCAATGCTGATATTGTCACGAGATATGCTGGAAACAGGAATTGGAGTCAGAGACGAGATAGAGCTGGAGACACGGCTGTTATAGTGAGGACGCTGTGGAGACTATTATGTATAGTGTATATTGTGTATATGGCGCTGGATTTGGAAGAATGAATAACGGAGCGAGTTAGTAATGGCGGTAGGCAGAATTCCATATAAAATGCTTGCTAGCAACACGGTATTCGAAATTATTAAGTTTATTGTTGAAGAGTACGGACACACTTCAAGACGTTTAGACAGAGTTCATTGACCAACTACTAAGAGCACGTCAAAACTCTAGATCGGAAATGAATAAAGAACGTTGCTGAAAATACGAGAAAAGCCAACGGAAAATCAAAACCCGGAATATGGGACAAAAGAAACACTACGACACGGAGAAAGTCACCCGATATAAACAAATCGGCAAGGACGGAGAACGACAATGTCTAGAAGGGAGACGTACACGGCAATGCGAAGCAGGTTAGGACCGGCGAGCTGGAACGCAGCAGTGGAGCCGGCGAGGCAGAGACATCAAGACGCAGACAGCAATTCGGGGAAGAGGCGCGAGAGTTGAATGAGCAAAAGATAGATGCGGGGGAGTCGTTAGGCCGGGCACAGCTTGGCGGGGGATTGCGAGGCCGGGCACTGGCATGCGCGCGCGGAGGCTGGAGTTAGGGCCGAGCTGGCGACGTAGTGAGGCGGGCGGTAGTTAGAGGCGGCGAAGCGACGTGGAGTCGAGGCGGCGGAGCAGCGCAGCCCAGCGGCGCGTAGTCGCTGGTGCGGGGGTGCC